AAGCTAATTATGATTTTTTTTGTAAAATAAGTCCAGATTTAACATTAACTCAAAAAAAATTTTTTTTAGAGTTTCCTTCTTTTCTATTGCAAAGCTCCCATATAATGTATATTAAGTATTCTTACTTAAAAAAATATATCATTGCCTTTACTATAAGAATAATTAATATAGATTATATATATTATTGCCTTTACTATAAGAATAATAAAAATTGTTTTAGTAAAATAATACATTATTTAATTAAATAATATCTAAATTATTCAATTAAAAACAAGTTCTAATAAGATGAAATTTTGTATTATTTGAAATTTTGGTTTGTTTACTATAAAACTAACAAATTTTTTGATTAATTAAAAAATTTTATCACTTTTTTAACCTTTTTCCTTTTTTTTTTCTGTATTTTTTAAAAAATATTTGAAAGTGATTATTTGAGTAAAAATTTACTATTTTTTTTGAAAATAAGTAAATCAGTAATGACTTTTTAAGTGATTTTCTTTTTTTTTCCTTTTTTTTTTTAAAAAAATTATCATCTTAAAATTAAAATAAGTAATTATAACTAATTTCATAAATTATAAAGTATTAATAAATTGCAACTGAAAGCAACAGAAAATATTTTATAATAAAATTATTATAAAATATTATGAATGAATGTGATTGGAAAATTATTAATAATCTATGAATTATGAAATAACTTTAATATTTTCCTTTTTTTTTTAAAAAAAAATTATTATTATAAAATTAAGATAAATAAGTTAGAGGTAATTTTTTGGATATAATTTACTATTTTTTTTCTTGTTTTTTTTAGGAAAATTATTTTGAAATTAAATAAATTAGAAATAACTTTTTGAATTAAAATTTTTATTTTTCTTTTTTTTTTTTTGTTTTTTTTAGAAAAAGTAAAAATTTATTATTTTTCTTTAGAAAAATTCTCATTTTGGAATTAAAGTAAACAAATCAAATAATATTTGATAGAAAATTTACTATTTTTTATTTTTATTTTTTTTTTAGAAAAATTATTATTTTGAAATTAAACTAAGTAAAATAAAAGTGATCTTTAGGTAAAATTTTATCATTTTCCTTTATTTTTTTTTATTTTTAGGAAAATTATTATTATAGAATTAAAGTAAATAAATCAGAGATGACTTTTTAGATAAAAATTTACTATTTTTCTTTTTTTATTTTAGAAAAATTATTATTATAGAATTAAAATAAATAAATTAAAGATGACTTTTTATAGCTAATTTCATAATTCATGAATCACTAATAAATTATGACTAAATGCAACTGAATATAAAATGTAAATCCTTTTTTGTAACTTTATTAACTAACAAATAATTTTTAATTTCTTTTCTTTTATCTATTCAATTATTTTAAAAAATAATTTAAGCAATTTTGTCAAAGAAAATCGACATTAGACTCCTAAATAATGTTGTTTAGCAAGTTCAAAAATAGATGAATATAAATTTTCATTATAATTAGATTAATAGTTATAGAGATAGACATTTTTTGTAATTGCATTATTTTTGTATATTTAATTATTTCAATAGTTAATTTGATAATTTTAATCAAAATTAATCAACTTTTAAATTCTAAGTAAAATTATTTAGCGGATTCATAAATAGGAAAATATAAATTTTTATAATAATTAGATTAATAATTATATTGTTATGAAAAATTTCATAATTACATTATTTCATAAATTTTTTTTTATTTTTATTTTTTTTGCTTAATAATTTCAATGAGTAATTTAAGCATTTTAGTCAAAGGAAATAATTAACTTTAAAAATTAAAGTAAAGTTATTTAGTAGATTTAAAAAATAATAAATATAAATTTTTATTATTTTTGAATTAATGATTATAAAGTTGTGAACATTTTTCATAATTGTATATTTTATAAATTTTATTTAAATTAAAAATTTATTTAAACTATGATTTATATATATTTAAAGAATCTAATAATATTACTTATTATATATCTATTTTAAATATAATAAAATAATTTTTTTTAAAATATATAATTTAATTTTTTTATAAAATATATAATTAAAATAAAATAATAATTAAAATAAATAATTTTTAAATATAAAATTAAATATAAAATAAATTTTAGAGATGAATAAATTCTTGTTTAAAATAAGTATATATAACTGATGCTAATTATATATTTTCTATTTTAAAAAATTAGCAAAAATAATAATAAAAAAAAATATATTTATTAAATAAATAGCAATATTTTTGCAATAAGCAAAGTCTCTAATCTTACTAATATACTAATAATTCATTTTTTATTTTTAACTAAATATTTCTAAAAAATATTTATAATAAATTAATCATTATTTATTAACTTACTTAATTTTTTTTATTTTTTTTATTTTTAAATTTTTAATTTTGATATTTATCAATAATTAGCCTTAAGTATAATAAGTTTTATATTTATTACAAATTTGTAAAAAGAAAAAATTAACTGATTATAATTTTAAAATAAAAAATAATTTATAATTATATATATATTTTTATTTAATATAATATTAAAAATATTATATGTAAATATTATATCTTTGAATTTAAAAAATAATTTATATAATTCTATATCATTTTTAAATATTCTTATAATATTATTTAAATTTTATAAATCCTTTAATTCTATTATTTATAAGATTTATTATTATTAATTTTTTATAATAATCCTAAAACTTAATTATTTATCATTTATTTAAAAATTGAAATTACTATATTTACTAAATGTAATTAAAATTTATACTTTATTATATAGTCTAATCATTTTTATTATAAGTAAATATAATTATATATTAAATTTATTAATTATTAATTATTTATTATTTGTGACTTAATAATTTTTGAATTGTTATTAATAAAGCATTTATAAATTATTTTATATTGATTTATTAATACAAAACATATTATATAACTAAATACCTAATATAGAAAATATTAATATAATAAATAAATTAGCCAAAATATAATTAAACTAGATAAAATAGAAATAGAAACATAATCAAATAATTAAAATAATCAAAAAAAGTTAAATAGCTAAAATAGAAAATATTTTATAATAATTAAAATAATAATAAATTCAATAATCAAATATTTAAATAATCAAAATTTATCAAAATATTAATTATGAATAATTGTTAATTATAAAATTATATTATAATTATAGAAAATTACTATGTATAAAAGCTGGTTATCATTACTGGTATAGTATTATGTATTTTATATATTTATATTGCATGTATTATTTGTCACTTCATATCACACCTCTCTAATTTTATTTTTACTATTTTTACTATAAATTCTAGAGACTTAAAAATTTTTTATCACTAAAAACTATTTGTTTTACTCCTTAAATATTCTTAGTTATAGCTGGTAATAAAAAACTTCAATTACTATTGGTTAATTTAACACTAATAATGATTACCACAAGTGAACTCCATAATTATATTATATAAATTTTATTAAAAAAAATTATTAATATATTTATTATTAAAAAGCATATATTATTTTGTTAACATGTATTGAAATTATCTGCGAAAATCCTTCATCATTTATTACTTCAACGGATTTTCTATTATTGGATAAAGATATCCTTCATGTCTTGCTTAGAAGAATTGATCTGCAGATCGAAGAAATTGTTCTTTGGGATTATTTAATTAAGTGGGGTATCAAACACACTCCTGATTTAAAAGATGATAAAACTAAATGGGATGACGAAGATTATGAAGCACTGAAGAATACTTTAGATGAATTTATCCCACTAATTAGATATTCGGGTATTGATTCCGCGGATTTTTTTGAAAAAGTTCGTCAGTATAAACCAATTTTTCCTAAATATCTTTATGAAAATGTTTTGGCATTCTACATGAAGGGTTCTATTCAAAAATCAATTATTTTATCACCACGATTTGGAAAATTACAAATGAAATCGAAGATTATCAAGCCAAGGCATATTCCTAAAATTATTAACTGGATCCAAGGTCATGATGATAAAATAAGTGAGAATGATGAAAAGGATTATCTATTCACGGTAAAATACGCGTTCAATCTTTTGCCAGAAAGTGATAGTATTAGTGATATTCTTGATCATAAATCAACTTTAATGCTTGTCAAAGATCGTAATTCATCAAAAATATATGGAGGGTATAAATCATATGAGTCTAATAATAGTGATTTAGCACTTTTTAATGATAAATGCAATTGCTTTATCTTTTGTTTCGAAAACAATGAGGACACTAGAGATGTGAAAATGACTAGAATAAATTATAATTATTTAGATCGTAGATTAAATTTTAGCTTTAAAGATTATTACGGGTCAGTGATAAAAATCATTGGTTTAGATCCGTTAGAAGTTGAAGCTTTTGAAGTAAAAAAAATAGTCAAAGGATTAGAATAGAATATTAGTATAGTTTTATTTTCCCTTCTATTATTCTATGTATGTCATCGAAGTGCAATTTTTAATATAAAATAATAATAAAAATAAAATATCACGTGCAATTGTTCGCATTGTCCAATAATTTCTACTTCATAGGAATTTGTGATTTTACAAAAATCATTTTATAACCAAATTAATATATTATGACAAATAATCTTACAATATAAGCTTTAATAAATTTTCTTTGAATATTTTCAAACAACTTTCAAAAGTATTAAGAAAGAATTGAATCGTAGGTTCTCATAGGGAAAGACCCAGAAACTTGAACTATCTACTAATGTACAGCACACTTGCTTTGTAGACTTAATTTCTAGTAAAGAAATCCATTCTAATAAGAAGAACGATAAATTTGATCAATAAGTTACCAATTCAAGGATAACACACACACATGGCGTGTTAAATAGATATTCAAAAGGAAAGTAATTACGGTAAATTAAAATCATTGGGGTCTTTGTCATGTTAACATTTCATCCGATAAGCAATTAATTTTCAAAGAGAAAATTGACAGCAATCAAGTTCTATATAGATAGTTACACATGCTTTTTTTTTGTTAGTTTTCATAGTTTATTGAATGCTTTGTAATTTGCTAATATTTTTTAATAGATACCGGAAAAAGAAAAAAAAGTTTCAATAAATATTTTGTGTAATACACATACAGAGCAATATACTAAATTTCACATATTATACCAGATTTTCTAACGTTATAAGCAAGTCGATAAAAGATGCCTTACTAACTTCCCATGCGAAAATATGATTCCGCGGTATGTTTCCGGTTGTCTATCAAATCCAGTCTTACTGTGTAAATAGAATCAAATTAATAGTTGAATAGAATTAGTAATTGATTTAGGGCTAAAAATTTAATTTTTACTCGAAAATTAATTCAGACCAGAATTAAAATATGGGAGGTTTGCTAGGAAAATGGGGCTCTGAGTAATTTTTATTGCATTTTAATGTTTGATAATGTTAGATTAAA